AGTTTATTAATGATCTTGGCTTTGAGCAGCCAAGGTACATCTTATTTTGTGATAATCAGAGTGCTATCTGTCTCACCAAGCACTCCACTTTTCATTCTAAGACCAAACATATATATAGAAAGTATCATTGGATAAGAATAGCCGTGGAAGAGAAATTATTTGAGGTTGAGAAGATACACACCGATGAAAATCCTTCGGATATGCTGACAAAGGCGGTGCCTGCAGATAAACATGAATTTTGCAGGAAATTGGCAGGCATGAAGCCTGTCAATAGTTCCTCTACTTGAAGACACATTTGGCCCCTTGGCTGGAGGGGGAGTTTGTTGGGCTCATGCCCATATTGTCCAGCCAAAGGCCAAACCAGCTTTTAAGCCATTTTTAGGTAACTGGAGTGTTTGGCAAAATAAAAAACAGCTTAAAAAAAGTTTTAAATGGCTTAAAAAAGCTAAAAGCCACAAGTTAGGATATCCTAACTTCTCCGTTTTTGGCTTAAAAGCCATCTTATTTTGACCAACGAAATTACTTACTTGTCCCTTATAACTTTTTCTAATCCCAAAACTACCCTCATCAAATAAATCCTAAAACATCCAACTACTCATTTTTTGTTTATCTTCTTTCCTCTTCTTCTCCTTTATCTTCTATTCTCACCCACACGTTCACCTTTCCTATGTGATATTCATGCTTTTCTACACTTCTATTTTCCTATTATAAATGCTCCATTTTTTTTAACATAACATTAAAATACAAATACCCTTTTCCTCAACATTTGGAGGAGGAATCTGCTTCTGTAATTTTTATATAAAGTTTCAATGTCCATATCGTAATGGGCAGTAGTCTATTTCCATTTTTCAAATATATGACCATGTCCTTTGATTTCGTCTTTGTTTGGTAAGCAAGAGGAAGATGTAGGTTTTTGATTTGTTTTTATGCGATATTTTTGTCTTTTTAACAGAAAAAAGTGCTTACCAGCACATATTTACGAAACACTTCAGTAACTTTTTTTAATTTGACGACCCGACCCGTCGTCTCATGTATTACAGCCCTGTTTCCCCCATTTATTGCTCTTTCATGTTTTATTATCAGCAACGGGTGAGTTAGAGTTGAATTGAATTGGTTTGGATAGGAAATAAGAGACTTAGTCTCTTTAAGGAAGGTTTGGTTTGGAAAAAGTCAACCGAACGTTGACTTATTAGTTAGAATGCTTGAATTGGCTAAGTTGGCATTTTGGCGAATTCCGGTGGATAGGTGAGATTTTGATCCGAGGGTCGGAATGGAATTCCGAGAGTTGATGTAGCTTCGTTAAGTGATTTTGGATATGTGTGTAAAATTTCAGGTCATTCGGACATCGTTTGGTCGGGTTTTTGATCGAATGCGTAATTCGGAAGTTTTTAAGAAACTTAGGCTTGAATCCGATGTGATTTGATGGTTTTAGCGTTGTTTGAAGTGTTTTGAGGATTGGAACAAGTTTGAATAAGGTATTAGGATGTGTTGGTGTTTTTGATTGAGGTCCCGAGGGCCTCGGGGTGAATTCGGGTGGTTAAACGGAAGGTTTTTGGAGTTAATTGCAGGTTCAACCTTGCTGGTATCTGTTGGTTTCGCACCTGCGGTTATGGGACCGCAGGTGCGGTCTCGCTGAAGCGATTGGAAGATGCGCAGAAGCGGAAGTCTTGGCCCTTGCCAGATTCCGCAGGAGCGGAAGGAGGACCGCATAGGCGGCCTCGCAGAAGCGAGCTAGACCTCGCAGGAGCGGAATTTGGAACCCTGGTCAGGTTCCGCAGAAGCGGAACATTGGATCGCTTAAGCGGTCCCGCAGATGCGATTGGGGACCGCAGAAGTTGAAGGTTGCCTTAAGTGAAAGGTCCGCAAAAGCGGACGTTGACCGCATAAGCGGAAGCCGCAAAAGCGGTACTGGATCCGCAGAAGCGAAATGCCTGGCAGTTAAGTGAAATTAATCATCTTCGCGAATTTTTGAAAGAACAACATTTTGGACTTCGGACTAAGGAGATTTTGGGCGATTTTTGAAGAGGGTTTTGAGGGCTATCATCAGGTATGGATTCTTGGGCTTAGATTATGTTATTATTGTGTATAAACATGAATTAACACTGAAAACCCAAGGAATTAAAGGGTAAAAATGGGGTAAGTTAGGGTTTGAGAATTTTGATGTAAAAATGGAATTTGGAGGGTCAAACGAACTCCGATTTTGGTGAATTTTATATGTATGGACTCGTGGCGAGACGAGGAATCCGGTGATGTAAATTTCGTAATTTTTCGAGAAGCGGGCCCGGGGCTCGGGTTTTGCTAGTTTCGAGATTCTTGCTAATTTTCGATTGTTTTCGATTGGGTATTGTTCCCTTAGCATATTGTGATGTATTCGCTCTGGTTTTGGTTAGATTCGACGCGCGTGGAGGCCGATTCGAGGGGCAAAGGCGTCGCGGGCTAGAGATTTCGCCGGTTCGAGGTGAGTAATGATTGTAAATGATACCCTGGGGGTTTGAAACCCCGGATTTGCACCCATAGTGCTATATTGAGGTGACTTGCACGCCAGACAGAGAGCGTGGGGTAGAGCACCGTTGGGGATTGTGACTTGGTCCGTCCCGGTTGTTGATTTTACCGTGTATTTCGCTATGACTTGTTGTTTTTCACTAGGACTTGGGCTTATTGCCATATTTGGGGCTTATTGCTGACTGTTTGAACTCCCTATGAGCTATCATCACTGTTTTCCTCACTATTTGAAATATTATTTGAACTCAGTCCATTGTCATTACACTGTTTCATGAACTCAGCTATATTTTCACTCAACCTCGAGTTTTAACTGATATTTGAACTA